ATGCTATTTACGTCACGACTGGAAAAGTCAAATGCTTTGGATGTGGTAATACAGGGCATTTAATTCGGAATTGTCCCAACAAAAATACTGAGGGAGAAAAAGGGGGAAAAAATGGAACAGTTGAACTTGAAGAAAAGGATGGAAAGGAGTCTGAGGCGGAAGCGCAGGTAATAGGCTTGGCTTTGGAAAATAATAATGTTGTAGATCGCACGTTAGAATTTGAGGCTGAACCAGTTCCTTCTCAGATTGAGCAAGGGAATAGTAATCCTAATGTTCTACCTACTACAGTAAATGATTCAAGCGTCTTAGACACGGTGGCTTCCTCTTCAGAAGGTAAAGAGGAAGGTGCAAATGATGATGAGATTAGGGTAGCTTGTGAAGGTGCACAGTTACTTTCGGAACAAGAGCAATTTTTTTTCAAGACTCCCCAAAAAAGAAAAATGGAAAATAAGTTGTTAGACGCTAAAGTAAGTAAGACCGTTGGTCTACAAAATGAGGAAATGCAAGATACGGAAAGTGACAGTGACTCGTCAGAATGCAGTATGAGTTTTTCACAAGGTGAAACTAACGTTACTGATCGAAGTTATGGTCTTGAGGACATAAAATTGTTCCTCAGGGCAACAAAAAATAAAAGGGGTGTAAAAATAAAAGAATTTTTTCCTGACTTGAAACAATTTGCTGATCAAGCAAAAAGTGGGATGGCTAGTGATTCCTTTACCAACAAAGAAGTATATAGGTTGAAGAAAATTGTGAGAAACATAAACAGCACCCTTGAAAATGATGCGGTTTAAGATGAAGAAAAATAATTTCTTTTTTTGTGGTAAATTGAGGTTGTTCTTTTTCTTTTTCTTCATTATGAGTGAAGTACATATTGCGTCTATGAATGTTAATGGGGCAAGGAATCCTAAAAAAAGAGCACAGATTTTTGAAGAAATGGTACAGAAAAACATAGATATAGCTTTTTTACAAGAAACTCATAGTAGTATAGATAATGTGGTTGACTGGATGAAGGAATTTAATGGTATATCTGTATTAAGTCATTATTCAAATGTGAGTGGTGGAGTTGCTATTCTTTTTAGTAAAAATTTTAAACCGATCTCGTATGATGTAGATGAAATTATGAAAGGTAGATTGTTAAAAGTCAGAGCTATTTATGAAACTTTTGTATTTGTTTTTATTTGTGTTTATACTCCAACAGCACCTATAGAAAGGTTACTGTTTTTAGATACTCTTTGTTCAACGCTTGAAAACTGCTGTACTGAAGATTTTCTATTTGTGGGTGGTGATTTTAATTGCACTGAACTTGATATAGACCGTAATCATGTTGAACCTCATATGGCTTCGCGCAAACGTTTAATTCATTTGATTGAGAAATTTGATTTATGTGACATTTGGAGAACTATGAATGATAATGAAAAGCAATATACATGGGCTCATGTACGCGATAATCATATATCATTGGCTAGGTTAGATAGATTTTATATTTTTAAACATCATTTGAATGTGTTTAACAAATGTTTTATCACACCTTTGTCTTTTACTGATCATCAAATGGTCAGTTGTAAATTTATTTTAAATTCAGTGAAATCTAAGAGTGCATATTGGCATTTTAATACAAGTCTTTTAAATGATAAATTATTTACTGAATCATTTAAATTTTTTTGGAAGGTTTTTAAAGAAGATAAATCTTCTTTTAAATCTATACAACAATGGTGGGATTATGGCAAGGTGCAAATAAAACAATTCACACAACAATATACTCAAAATGTCACAAAAGAATTGAATCGTTCTTTAATAATGCTTGAAAAAGATTTGATGGATTTACAAAAGTTGTCTCAGACCTCAAGTGATAGTAATTTTATGGAAACCTTTTTAAAGAAAAAAACTGAACTTAAAGAGCTATTAGAACATAAAGCACAAGGAGCATTAGTTCGTGCTCATTTTCTAAATATTGATCAAATGGATGCGCCTTCCAAATATTTCTTTGGTCATGAAAAAAAAAATGGGCAGAAACGTTTAATTCATGCTCTGCGTTCTGAGGATGGTATTTTGTTATCCAATCCCAGACAGATGCGTGAGATAACAAGACAGTTCTATCAGTCCCTGTACAGAAGTGAACTTGAGCCGGAAAAGGAGGGAAAATGCCCTTTCTTGGAGGATCTACCTAAGATATCAGAAGAGTCCAATGAAGAACTGGAATGTGGCCTAACTCTGGGAGAGCTGTATAAAGCACTTCATGATATGGAGTCTGGGAAAGCTCCGGGAGTAGATGGGCTTCCAGTGGACTTCTTCAAAGCTTTCTGGTCGGAGTTGGGAGTTGACATGCTAGAGGTGTTCAATGACAGCTTGCTAAAGGGTCGGCTGCCTTTGAGCTGCCGAAGGGCAGTGGTCACTCTCCTTCCGAAAAAAGGAGATCTTACTGAAATCAAGAACTGGAGGCCGGTATCACTTCTGTGCAGTGATTATAAGTTACTGTCTAAAACTTTAGCTAATAGATTGACTAAAGTAATGGGACAGGTGATTCATCTAGATCAATCTTACTGTATACCAAACAGGTCAATCTTTGACAATATTTCTTTAATTAGAGATATTATACAGGTTTCCAAATTATTTAATATCAATTGTGGTTTGTTGTCTTTAGACCAAGAGAAAGCTTTCGACCGGGTTGAGCATGCTTATTTATGGGACGTTTTAAAGGCTTTTGGTTTTAATGAGAAGTTTTCAAACATGATTAAAATTCTTTATGGTGACATTGAGAGTGTAATTAAGTTTAATGGTGGCTTATGTGCTCCATTCGAGGTCAGTAGAGGTATTAGACAAGGTTGTTCATTATCTGGAATGCTATATTCTCTTGCTATTGAACCACTTCTACAAACAATCAGGAAGAATTTAGATGGTTTAAGGGTACCATTGTGTGATGTTAAGTTCTGTATATCAGCTTATGCTGACGACCTAATAATAATGATTAATAAACAAAGTGATATTCATGTTTTATTTACATTGATTGAAGACTTTGGAAAATGGTCCTCAGCAAAAGTAAATTGGAAAAAAAGTGAGGCATTTCTACTGGGGGACTGGAATGATAAGAAACCAATTCTTCCTGAAGGTCTGTGTTGGAATAGGTGGGGTTTGAAATATCTTGGAGTTTTTTTAGGAGATGATAATGTCATTCAAAAAAATTGGGATGGGTTATTACAAAAAGTGAAAGGTCGTCTAGACAAATGGAAGTGGATTCTACCCAACTTGTCTTATAGGGGAAGAACACTTATTGTAAATAATTTGGTTGCTTCACTTTTATGGCACAGATTGGTTTGTATTGATCCTCCATCAAAATTGATGGCTGAAATTCAAGCGGTTTTTGTTGATTTTTTTTGGGACAAGCTTCATTGGGTTCCGCAGAGTATTTTATTTTTGCCCAAAGAAGAGGGGGGCCAAGGATTGGTACATCTCCAGAGCAGGATTGCAGCTTTTCGGCTGCATTTTCTTCAAAGACTTCTTGATGGACCGATGAATGTCAGTTGGAGGGCGATCAGTGGTGTTTTATTAAGGACTGTTGGAAACCTTGGAATGGATAAATCTCTTTTTTTAATGGACCCGAAGTGCTTGGATCTTTCGAAATTGTCATCATTTTATCAGCAGCTTTTCAAGATCTGGAGTTTTTTTCATATTCAAAGGACTGAAAATTTTCATTCCATTTACTGGTTGCTTAATGAACCCTTGATTTGTAATGCAAGACTGGATCTGTCTGCATCCAATTTTTTACCAGGATTTAATAAGACTTTACAAAACTCAGGAATTTTTGTTTTAAAACATTTAATGGGTTTAACTGGACCTCATTTTAAGAATGTAGAAGCTGCCACTGTAAAATTGGGAATCAGATCTGTTCGTTCAGTAACTCGATTTGTGAATAAGTTAAAAGAATGCTTTACGGATGAAGAAACAATGATGTTAGAGGATTTCTTTTCAGGGACTTGTGTCACTGACAGTGAAGATCTTTTTCCTTGTTTGTTGATTCAACCAAATGTTGAAGAATATTCTGGGTGTTTCTTTCAACAAAATAGGTTCTCATCTGTTGATTTTTTCTCATGTGGGCGGAAAGAGTTGTATAGAATGTGTGTGCTCTTTCTCAACAAAAAGACACTTGATAAGAGAGTTGATACTCCTTGGCGTTCGGTCTTAAAAATAGGTGATGAGGTAAGACCCGAGTGGAGAGTTTTGTACAAGCCACCATTATCGAAAAGAACAGGGGACTTGCAGTGGAGAATCCTGCATGGGGCAATTGCGGTGAATTCTTTTGTTTCAATTTTGGATTCAAAGAATGACTCAGGTTGCCCTTTTTGTTCTCAAAAAGAGACTGTGTTTCATGCATTTATGCAATGCATCAGACTAAAAAAATTGCTTGTAATGGTGAAAGAGTTGTGCAATAAGTTTAACGAGCATTGTTGTCATGAAACTTTTATTTTTGGTTTTAAATATACACAGACAAAGCGTGTTACGTTTCAGTTGTTGAATTTTATTCTTGGGCAAGCGAAAATGGCGATTTATATGAGTAGAAAAAGCAAAATAGAACAAAAAAGCAATGATGATGTTATTATTGTTTTTAAGTCTCTAATTAGAGCAAGAATTTTGATAGATTTCAGATTTTACAGAGCTATGTGTGATCTTGATACTTTTGTTTTGAAATGGTGTGTTTGTGATGTTTTGTGTAAAATTGTCGATGATGATTTAGTATTGTGTTTTTAATTTTTCTGTTGTAAGTTAATTGTGAGGTGATTTTGTAAATAAAGTTTTTTTCAAAATCAAAATCTCTCTCTCTCTCTCTCTCTCTCTCTCTCTCTCTCTCTCTTTCTTTTTCTCTCCCTCTCTCTCTCTCTCTTTCTGTCTCAATCTTTCTCTCTCTCTCTCTCTCTCTCTCTCTCTCTCTCTCTCTCTCTCTCTCTCTCTCTCTCTCTCTCTCTCTCTCTCTCTCTCTCTCTCTCTCTCTCTCTCCCCTTCCACAGGGCTACAGGACTGGTTACCCGTACCGTTGCCCGGCGCTGCGTGATAAAGCTAAAAAGTACAGTGACGTTGAGATTCCCGCTTCAGCCACGGGCTACTCATACGCCGAGGACAGTGACTCGGGTGCGCGCTCCCCGTTAAAGCACAGCTTTCAGCGGCAGCAGCGGGACAAGACTCGCTGGCTAGCCGCCGCGCGGCCCGACGAGTCGGCAGAGGAAGGCCAGGACGGCAGCGGTAGCCCCAAGGCGAAGACTAAGGTGTGGACGAACATAACACACGATCACGTGAAACCCTTGCTGCAGTCTCTCTCGTCCGGTGTCTGCGTGCCAAGCTGTATTACCAACTGCTTGGTCTGTGCCAACCTTATTGTTCATAGTTTAGAAACGTACTGCTACTGAGCTAGAGAGGGCGGCTGGTTAGCACCCCGACACCAGGGCAAAAAAACAAACTAATCATACCCAAGTGGTTTTGGGTGTGTATGCCTTTTTCTTCGAGTAAAATGTTTGACAACCAAAGAAAATTGTCCTTTAGACTCGTTTCGTCCTGTAAATATACAGCTTTTCTCTCTCGGCTGACTTCTTAAGGCAAGGCACTACAGGTCAATAGGGGAAAAACATTATCATAACACACCCTGTGATATCTATTATCCATTGTGAAAAAAAAAATAGTGTTACAAGTTTTTTAATGTTTAACATATGCAAATGAAGCATACTCTAATTAAATATGCACTGATTTGCATACATTTCTACAATAGAAATCTGAACATTGGATAAAGCCATGTTGAAAAATTCTTGTTTCATTGATGTTTTACTTTATCACTATAAATCAGAAAATACTGTCAACAGCCAGAAAAAAATATTTGCACCAAATTATATATTAACAAAGCGTAAAACCTTCGGAATACAGATAGTAATTGACTTGCAGCCTGTAATGATATGTATTGTAAGTGAAATCTAAAGATGCAATAGATAAAGTGCAATAAAATAAACACTTTATTTAGGATGCTTTCTTTCCACTAGTTTGAAACAACACTTTATGGAAAGCAAAATTTAACTCATCAATTTCTTTCTATTTTTTTTGCTTGTAGTTCTTGTCTTAAGATTCTCACTGGGTTTGATCACTTGCTCCAGATTGCATTTCTTTAACTTATTAACTAACCCATTAATCTGTTCTAGATCTTGCTTTCTCTGATTTCTCTCTAAGCTAGTCTGTATGTCAATCACAGCGTCAGGCTCCTCCCCCTCTCTCACGATTGGTCGAAGGGGTGTCAGGGTTCTCTCCGGCTGCTCAGTGCATGCGGTGTTGCATGATTGATCAGATGCATTGTGGATCTTCTCCTGGGGGACCAGGAGGGTGTGGCATGTGCGGCTAATCTTTACTGTTGCTATGGATTTTCCTCCCGTTTCTGTTGTTGTTTGTTTCATTTATTGCTTTATTTCGCACCTCTTGCATTGTTTGTGTTTCAATGGAGCCGTTACTCCACATGAACGGTTTCCTCAGAGCAAACCAAGTTCCTATCGCAGGAAGCCATTTGAGTGGATAATGTACTTACTGTGCACTTAGATGCAGTGATGAAGACAGCAAATACTGCAGTACAGTAGAAGACTTATAGTATGATCATTTATGATAAAAGCCTGTCGCATTGGAAAGCTTTGGAGTGAACTGATGGATGAATCTCACAAAAAAATGTCATGTTTCATCTAAAAATAATATAACAGAAAATATGAAATTCTACTTTGCATAGAGAAAATATAACTTTTTTTAGGACCGTTAAGATGTATTAGTTTTTCCATTTTGACATTACTTTAATGACAAATAAGCCCCGTGTTGTATTTTAGCAGGCTACTAATGTGTGCTTCATTGCCATGAATATAATGTCATAATTAAAAAAAAATCTAGTATCTTTAAGTTATACCTTAAAAAAAATTTGGTTTACTGATATTAAACATTTTTTTAATGTAAGGCCAGATATAGATTTTAAGATAATCTCTATAAAAATTCTATATTTTTTCTGTTCATATTTTTGCTACTTTTACCATGTTTCTTCTATCTGTCATAGCTTTAAATTACTAACAAATCTTTTAGTGTTTGGGTGAAATATGAGTTTTTATGAGTTTCACCTAGACTGCAAATGAAAATGCTTCCAAGAAAATAACAATAATTAAGGCAATCAAGGAACATCAGAGAAAAAGCAGGTTTTTGCCGCACACTCTGTGGGAGAAAAAGCTCGGCTGCTTCTAGTTCTGGAGTTGTGGCTTGCTGTTTGATGACTCCTTAAACCGCTTAAAAACATTTGTTGGCTTTTTAATTCCTCTTTTCGATTTTTCTGAGTTTCCTTTTCTTCTTTCTGAATTGGATTTATCTTTTCCTGAACTCTTCCTGAGCGCATGAGTGTATTTTAACTTTTCAAATTTCAAAATCATCCAAAAAAAAAGAAAGGAAAAATCATTGGTTCATGAGTGGTTGTTAACTCTCCGAACGATTGTCTCTAGTTGGGGGAGAGCGTGTTGTGTTGTGGGGCTCTAAACGTGATCAGTGAGTATTTCATGTTTACGTGTTCATCCCATGTGCCCCGTTTCTCCAGCGCCCATACGGAAACCCTTCCTCATGACTTTATTTCATTTTGGTAAAAGCAAGTAACTCATTGGCTACTCATGCTATTCTTACCCAGGCCAAAGGCCAACTATCCTTGCTTCAGAAATAATTAGTACTCGCTCTTCATCTTTATTTGAATCCATGTATCAGAGCTTTTGGAGTAAACCTCTGAAACTTTAAGCTGAAACTTCATAAACTGAAGTTCATCTTGTACGTTTTAAGAAAAGTTGGGCGTAATTCTGTCCTTCCTCACTGTGTGTGTGTCTGTGTGTCTGTGTGTCTCTGTGTCTCTGTGTGTGTGTGTGTCTCTGTGTCTCTGTGTCTCTGTGTCTCTGTGTCTCTGTGTCTCTGTGTGTGTGTGTGTGTGTGTGTGTGTGTGTGTGTGTGTGTGTGTGTGTCTCTCTGTGTCTTTGTGTGTGTGTCTCTCTGTGTGTGTGTGTGTGTGTCTCTGTGTGTCTCTGTGTGTCTCTGTGTGTCTCTGTGTGTCTCTGTGTGTCTTTGTGTGTCTCTGTGTGTGTGTGTGTGTGTGTGTGTCTGTGTGTGAGCATGAGTGTGTCTGTGTGTCTGTGTGTGAGAGTGTGTGAGAGTGTGTGAGAGTGACTGAGAGTGTGTGTGAGAGAGTGACTGAGAGTGTGTGATTGAGTGACTGAGTGACTGAGAGTGTGTGTGTGTTGTTCCAGTATCTGAAGGTATTTTCTGGCTGTCCACTCACGCCTCTGTCCACTGCTAAACACACACCAGCTTCTGCCTCCTCACCCCACACCTGCCTCCCTCGTGGTCCATCATCTTCCTGAATCTTCTGTTTTTCTCTTTGTGTGTGTGTGCTCTTTTCTTTCTTTTTAGCATTTTCTGTCGTTACTATACGCCCAACGGCAGTATCAATGATGATGAGGGCAACGGCTGCCCCGGCACGGATGATGTCAAATTTAAGTTTATACGTATTGATTTAGAATCATATTTATTGTGGTGATTTGTCAACAAATGTGGTTTAATATAATGTTAAATTGAAATCATTTGAAAAGTTAATTCTTACTGATTAATTGCTTTGTGTGCAGAGGATTAGTGGAATTTGGAATGTTTAGAATTTAGAATTCTTGTGATGACCAGAGTTCCACGTTTTCCCAAAGCAAACTGTACATCATCATTGGTTCGTTGCTCAGTGGACAATTATAATTTGACCAATAATGTTTCAGATCTGCTTTTGTGTTTATTTCGTATTGTTTGAGAGGCATGAATTAAACTTTTTTTTGTTGTTGTTAATGGGCAAGTTTTCCTTCGTTTCGGTTTATTTGAATGGCTGTGCTTTGATCATTTCAGTGGACTAAGGAGGACGGTCTCAGACAGGGTGCTGTGGCCAATCAGTTTGTCCCGATGAACACCAACCCCAAAGAGGTCCAAGAGATGCGCAACAAGGTCTGAACCTTTTTCCCATGTAGATTTAAGACATTTCAGTGAGGAGGAAGCAAACACTGTCCTGTGTAGGGTTGGGAATCGAAAATCGATTGTTATAAAAATAAAAAATTTTGATTCCTCTTATCGATTCCTTTGTGAGTATTTCAATATGACTTTAAACCATTCAAGCGTGTGACGACTCTCTCGTGCTGTTTTCTGTGGTGCAGGCGTGTGTAACTATATTGGGCAACTCTTAAAGTGACAGTAGCCTTATACTCCTGCTGCCATCTCTATAATAACACTAATCAAACAACACGAGACAAAGAGAAAATGCACTCGTTCTTGACTGAATAACTTTTCTAACTATATTTGTAATGTTAATTTTTTTTATAAAGCACAATGTTATTTTACATTTTATTACTTAAAACTAGGGCTGTGCAAAGATTAATTGCGATTAATCGCATCCAAAATAAAAGTTTGTGTTTACATAATATATGTGTGTGTGCTGTGTATAATTATTTTGTATATATAAATACACACACATGCATGTATATGTTTAAGAAAATGTGTTATTCATATATAAAATATTTATATTTATATATAATATAGATTATGTATTTTTATATATATATATATATATACACTACCGTTCAAAAGTTTGGGGTCAGTGAGAATTTTATTTTTATTTTTTGGAGGAAAGAAATCAATACTTTTATTTATCAAGGTATAATTAATTTGATCGAAAGTGACAGTAAAGACATATATAATGTTACAAAAGTCTTTTGAACTTCCTATTCATCAAAGAATCCAAAAAAAAAAAAAAAAACTGTACAACTGACAGACCAACAACTGTTTCAACATTGATAATAATAATAAATGTTTCTTGAGCATCAAATCCTCATATTATACTGATTTGTGAAGGATCATTTGACACTGAAGACACTGACACTGGTGATGCTGAAAATTCAGCTTTGATCACAGGAATAAATTACACTTTACTATATATTCACACAGA